GCCAAAGGCTCATCCAGTCCAACACTCTGTGTCACACAGGGGCCAGAAATACCAGGTGCCATCAGGAGGTCCACCAGTGGGGCCAGGACATTAGAAGCCCTCCCACTGTTGGCCCCCCCAAGCACCAAGAAGACAGAGCATCACTTGCCCCAGACCAAAAGTTCCTACCTATACCTTGTGGCTAATAGCCACTGATGGACTTCTGCTCCTAAGAACATAAGAGAAGCCAATGCTGGATCAGGCCAGCGGCCCATCCAGTCCAACATTCTGTGTCACACAGGGGCCAAAAATACCAGGTGCCATCAGGAGGTCCAACAGTGGGGCCAGGACACTAGAAGCCCTCCCACTGTTGGCCTCCCCCAAGCACCAAGAAGACAGAGCATCACTTGCCCCAGAGCCCCTATCGATACCTTGTGGCTAATAGCCACTGATGGACCTCTGCTCCAGACGCTTATCTAATTCCCTTTTGAAGCCGTCCATGCTTGTAGCCGCCACCACTTCCTGCTGCCACACCACTCCTCCACATGCAGCTGCTGGTGTGACCTTGGGTCAGTCACAAGTTCTTTCAGTTTGGTGTAGTGGCTCTGGCCGGTGTGGAGACGTTCGCGTGGCAGCAGTCGCTTGGACAAACTTCTGTCATGATTTTAGGGCTAGAAAGAGCCCCGTTCACACATTACACATGTACAACCAGCAAGTAACACGCGCACACCTGTTTGTAAGGGGGAGGCAATGCACGTTCACTCAACGAATGAAACCGGAGAACAATCCCCTGATAAATGTAGGATTTTCGATCACACGTTCGGCTGCATATGCGCTGAATGTAACATGAGAACCACAGGAAAAATATAGAAAAATCAAATGTGCGCTCTGTGCGGATTGTCCGTACATTCACTGTTGACGTGCGAACAGGGCTTAAGTCTCTCGGTGGAGAGCAACGAGAATTGGGATGCGCTACCTGTAGATGTCCGATTAGATTCGAGTCCAGTCGCAAGACATTCCAAGTACATAAATAGGTACCACTTCGGTGGGAAGGTAACAGCGTTCCGTGCGCCTTGGTGTTTAGTCATGCCGGCCACATGACCACGGAAACGTCTTCGGACAGCGCTGGCTCTTCGGCTTGGAAACGGAGATGAGCACTGCAACCCTAGAGTCGGACTCGACTGGCTTTCGAGCAAGGGGAACCTTTAGTGCCACATAACAGGGAAGTATTTTTGTATGACGTTGGCTGCATCTTTTATGTTCAATATCTTACTTAACACAAGGCCCAGACCCTGAAGATCTGTGTCATTACCTGCTGGATTGCCCACTCTATTCATCCCCAAGAAAGAAGTTTCTTTGCACAATCTTAGATAAATCAGGCCCCTGCTCCACATCTGGAAGAGTTATAACTTTACTTGCAGATGTGGAGCCAGAGTTTTCGTACAAGGTTGCACTTTTTGCCCTAGCAGCA